CCCCCCACCCCGGCCTATCTTCACTCTGTTCTGTTCAGACCGTCTCTGCCCCTGGCTCCTCCAGACGCCTTTTCCTGGTTGGTTCACCTGCTAACGTACCAAGTGCTGCGGCAGATCTTCTAACCTGTTCTAGCTCTGCTCGCAGGCTCAAAACCTGTCTCCCACCATGGACGGCAAACCCCACGCATGTAACAGGCGCTGAGTAAATACTGGTGCCAGACTAAAATATGGTACGATCACACGGGCCGAGGAAAGTGGGTCATCTAGAGGGAAGAGGGAAAGGCAGAGTAAGGAAAATGATGACACATTCTTAAACAAGAGGCCATTTAATAACAGCATCGGCGTGAGAGCCATCAGGTAGGCTGACCACTTTCCCAGCAGCTAGGGACTCCCGCTAGGAAGCCGGTCAGCCTTCTCCTGGTGGCGTCAGTGAAAGAACCCGTGTATGTATGCTGGAGGTGAGGGTGGGGATGCAGGAAGGGACAAGGCACTTTATACAACCTAAGAAAGAGACGAGGACGAGGCGCTCAGGGTTTTTCTTTTAATTATTTACCAGATAAAAAAAGAAAAAAATAGTGATTGTTTCTCTTCACCCCCAACATCTCAGTTTCCCAAGGCCGAGAGGGAGAGAAACTTGTTGAACAGTGATTTGTGCTCCTGGCCTGGAGCAAATTCCTCCCCTCTGTTCTCCGTCACCCTAAGCAGGAGGGGCAGGGCCGAGGGCCAGGCAGGCGTCTGGGACTGCGCAGCAGAGCGGCAGTGTGGCTGCTGTCTTTCTTCTCCCTGCTGCCAGCGCACTCAGGCCCTCTCCTGCCTGTCCCCCTCCGCCATCCTCCCCCACTCGCCAAAGGAACTAGAGGACGGGCCTTCAGGAGGTGGGGCCGGGGGCAGCGCAGGACCGGGGAAGCACACAGCAGACGTGGCCGAGGACACCGTCTTCTGCTTCTATTGCACATCCTGGCTCAGGTCCCCTGCCCCGAGTGGTGGGCTACAATGTAACATGCTTCTGAAATTCAAATAACCTGCTGTCGTCTGCCAGGCTCAAGAAGGGGAGGTGTGCTGTTGTGCGGCTTCTTCTGATTTATGTATTTAAGTTATATTTAATTTATTCACCACGGGGGCAGGGCAAAGATGATGCCTTTTTAAGAAAGCATATGGGGTTTGGACACCCAGGGCTCTGTAGTCACCTGGGCTTCTCCTCGTCAAGTTCAAAAGACCAAGAGTAACCATTTCTCCAGTCAGCAGATCTTCTTTTGCATAAGATGGAAGAGGCGGCAGGGGCCACCAATCCCACAAGGCCCCTCTCCAACCGTCACGACTCTTGAGCCACTCAGGGGTTACCTCTCCTTCTGAGCACCTGGAGAATCTGAACCCCAGGGGGGAACCTTTCACACTGTGTGTTTCTCCATAACGTGGCAGCTGTTTGATTCTCCTTCCTCTCGCTACCAATGGAAACAGAGAGGGGCTGGGAAGCGCTGTGTAACGGACCTATGGACAGAATAAACTCCTCTAAACACAGTGAGGGTGGGGGACGAGGACAGATTTTGATTTGGCAAAGCTGCACGAGTCTTTCGCCTTCGCTGGCTGGAACAAAGCTGGTGGGGGAAGACAAACCTAACTGAGCCCATGGCAGGAGCCGCAGGCTATGAAAGATGACAGGGCAAACACAGAACTGTATAAACTGTGGCACTATGAAGATGAGAATGCAGGGCCATGAGCCCAGCTGGCAGCATGCCTCGCGAGCACGCTTCCAGAAATTCTATCTGTCCCGTAGTAAGTGGCAGCATCCAGATACATCAGAGTGGTTGTCCTTCCTCCTCTTTCCAACACATTCCGAGAGTTTCTCGTATAAATAACTATGTACACACACACAAGCCTGGTCTCTCTTTGACACGAGGGTCCTTCACTTGAGGGTCCTACAATGGCTTTATAGAGTCGGTTCCAGTTGTCTTTTTGGAGATTTACTGCTTGGGACCAAACCTGCAAGGAGAAGAAATGACTGAACTCTATACCAGGTAGATCTCTGAGATGAAAGCATCCCAGTGTTTAAGGGACCAAGTCTGAATAATGAGCCCACAACTCCCTCACCCGGCTTTGGTACCCTGGCAGATTGGGCAATGGGGCTGGGACACGTTAACCTCAAGCCTCGCTACTATCAGCCAGAGGACCACAAGCCCACCAGCAGCCCTGGGAATACAGCTCCGTACCTCCCTCTGATAAGGACAGTTTCTCAAGTTCAGCTTCAAGTTCAGCGTCCGAGATCCTAGGGTTAGGCACACTGTTGGTATAAAACGTCTCCTGGGGGTTGTCGGGCAGATCCGAAGGTTCTTTGGTGGTGTCCTGAAGGAGGATGTCCAATTCCTTCTCCAGTTCCTCACTGTCAAAGTCTGGAAAGAAAAGACGACATAAGGACACATAAAGTCCAGGGAGGAAACGCATTACTGAGTCAAGGATTGAGGACTACAAACCCAGCTCGGCTTTACAAAAGATGCCCAGGCCTCCTTGAAGGTTTATTTAAAAAATCGTGTGAGTTGGGAGGCAGAGGATACCTTCAAGCAGATATGCTTTTTCCATACACAGAGCTAAGTCATCAAGGAGGTGTATTTTGCTAACACCATGGAATGGACCCTGCTTCTCCTTGCCCTTGAAGAGGCCTAGGGAGTAAGGGATGCCAGAGCACCAAGAGGTCGTTAGCACAGCCTATCAAGGAGGAAATGCCAATTCCTTCTCCTTACTCCTGTGGAGAAGCCCCAGAGAGAGGGGAGGGTGGGCCAGCCCCGCCTGCACCAAAAAAAGCAGGTCCATGGCCAAATCTATCACAGCACAAGGAGCTAAAGTCATCTTAGAGAGGAAAGAAGGCAGAATCACCATGTCAACTCACCTAAGCCGTTGGTTACCCCACCAGCCAGAGTCTGAGAAACTTCGTCCTGGGTGTCACACAGCTGTAAGAGAAAAGCACAACGCCTTGAACTCTGAATGGTCTTTGGGTCTCAGTGTTCAGGGTTACAAAGTAATGCTGCCCCACTGGAGAATCAAGGAAAGCGTCCTGAAGTTCACAAGGTAAACAGTCTGGGAAAGACGAAGTCACTCCTGTCCTCAGGAACTGCCTTGTGTAGGTGTGTCCTCCCACCCGCTCCTGTACCTCTTGGATCTGATCCACAAGGCTCTCTGCCTTCTCCACCGTGACATCCTTCATGGACAGTTTCAGTGCTCCTACCCCAGCCTGATACGCATTGAAAACCTAAAGAGAAGGCCAAGTTATCAGTGCAGATAAAGAACACTGGGCAAAATACAGACAATACTATTTCATCTCCAAAAGAAAGCTTTGTGGGTTTTTTTTTCCCCACCCATGCATGATTCACCCCATGTCCACTGAGGCCAAAACTGCCCAATGGGAGAGGCAAAGGCAGTCCCAAGCATATCCTGAAAGAACCCAGGCCTCCTCCAAACAGCAAAGCCACAGCGGAGGGGATGAGCGGCTGACACCGCAGAGACCAGCCAAGCACTGGGGCAGAGGGGCAGTGGCTACCATCTGATCTGTCTGTGAGGCATAGATCCGGTCCAGGATGCCTTGAACAGTGTCCAGCTTGGCATGCAGGGCTTCGATGCGCTTCTCCGTCCGCTGCTTGGCCTTGAGAGACCTCAGGGCCTGGGGGGGCGGGGTGTGGAGACATGGTCATGGTCAGGGTCAGACCGGGCAGGCCAAAGGGCTAGAGAAAGAGAGCCCTTCCCAGATGATAAGACCACCCCAGGTTTGTAAAACAAGCTGTGGTGGTGTCTGGGCCACCCGCAGACTGTTCCCCTCGAGAAGGTCGCTCCCTGAACTGGGGCTCCTCTCGCTGTGGGCACAGGTACACAGCTGTGGGGGGAAGAGAGAGAACTCACCAGCTGCTTCTTTCCTGCTCGGCATGCCCGGCGGGCTTCTTCTTTATACCTATGAACAAAGGGACAGCTCAAGATGACGAGGCCCGAGGGTGTGTGTGGCAGGGTCCTGAAGTGTCCCCAAGAGTAGCACTTTTAGTGAAGGTACTTTCAAATCTGAAGATCAAATTCATTCTACCCAATGGCCAGAAAAACGATGCCCAACAGCCCACTGCCAAACCCCTGCAGCAAGCTGAGATGCGGGCTGGGCGGGTCTGCCTGTGGGAAAGGCAAAGGACCAAGGAAAAGCTGTTTCACCCACAGCGGGGGCGGGGCGGGCGGTGGGGGGGCGGTGTGCAAACATGCTGACGAGGCACCCTGAAGACAAATTCCTATCCTGGGAGCCAGGAGGTAGGGAATGACTTCCTAACACCACCAATGATGCTGGCCTTCCCACAACATGGGGTTTCTCCCACTGTAAGAGGGCGTGAACAAGCACATTCTAATTCCATGTCTACATACTCTACTTTGTGGAGAAGTTATAATGTGCCTTTAGCAGGGACGCCTTGCACAGTCACTGGAGGGGAAGAGCAGAGGTCCCTCAGCAAGACCCCTGGAAGGCAGAGACCTGTCTCCTTCACTACTCTATCCCCAAGTCCCCAAGACAAGGCCTAGCTCAATAAACACTGGTTAAATGGATACTGGCATGGAAGAGCATAAACACAGTGTTAAAAGCTGTACTCTTTGGGGGAGGAATTCATTTTTTTCTCCTTTGTGATAGTCTGTGCTTTCCATGATGGCTGCACTGAACAGTCAGTACTTTCACAATTAGTGAAAATAAATAAATAAATAAATAACCTTTTTTTTTTTTAAGCGCCCACGGACACCATCTCTAAGGGCCAGGGTGGAGGTCAGGGGTGCTCAGCTCAGGGGGAGTTACCTCTCTGCTTCCTGGGATAAGGACTCCACCTTGCGCGACAGCAGCTGTTCGCTCTGCATCAGCTGGTAAACCCCGACATCTACGTCGTTGACAGGAGAGACCTTGGCATGTGGGCCCCGGGCAAACTTCACAATCTGAGGGACAGGGACAAATTACTGCTGCCCCGACCCCAAATGCTGAGAAATCACCAGGCAGGGATGCTGGCGGGCATGTCAGTACACACTGAACAAGTGCTCGGTGAGGCAGGGAAGGAACAGCGAGTTTCCATACCTTCTCCCCATTCTGCTCAAGGACGGTGACTCGCTTCTCTTTCTGCAGCTGCAGCAACACCAAGTAGAAGGTCCTCTCATCCAGACAGGAGCCCGCACAGAGGGTGCTCAGCTCCGACAGGGCCACCACAGGGTGCGAGGAGAGAGGGGAGTTCTGATACAGACGATACACCTCCTCAGCCTTCTCCTGCAGGGAAAGTGAAAGGTGCTTGCGGGCCCTGATCGCTGCCCACGGAACCCGGAGAGCCCTGACCCCGTGCCTCAGATCCACAATCACACGGCAAGAGCAGGGGAGCACCGACCCTGTCTTCAGCTTTGGAAAAGGAAAAAGGATTTGTGTTTTTTTAAACCTCGGAGGAAAGTCTGGGGAACACAGATGAAATGAGGTACGTAATATATTGGGAGCCAGATGTGTGCTTGCCCTTCCAGCCAGGACTTCATGTCTCTGCAGCTCCCTGGCCCATGGTCCCCCAAGGGGAGAATGAGGTGGTGTGGTGGGGTGCAATGGCCAGGAATGAGAGCCAAGGCCTAGCTCTCATTGGTTGGCCTAGCCTGTGTGACCCTGGACCAGTCAGTCTCACTGGTCCTCAGCATCCCACTCACCAACTGGAGAAGGTGGATGAGATGATATTTAAATTCCCTGCCAGTCCTGGTGTCTCCATTTTTATGCCAAATGGCAATCCTGCAAACCGGAAAATTATTGAGTCTATAAAGAGTCTTATGTGACAAATGGGTGGGATAGGATTTTTGTGACAAGTCTAAGAAATACAAGTTCCAAAAAACAATGCCACTGCCTTCCTCTTTCACGGAAATTACTCTCTCGGCCTTCTGTAAACAAGAAATATTTACTGAAGTATGCACAGAATGCTATGAAAATACAGGGAAGGAATACCCAAGGAGTTCAGCAATTGCTCAGAAAAGAAAAAGATTGTTGAGCAGAATCCTGTAGGGTGAATAAGTCATTAGGTGAAGTCGGTGGGAAAGGCGTCGTGGGAAGAGGGATGGTCACGAGTCCCTCAATGGCAGGGAGCCTGAGTCCAGTGTGGTGTTTATGGATGCGGGTGGGAAGGGCTGAGACAGCAGAAGCCCTTCTACCTCATACAAAGTGTAATGTATCTTCTATGCTGTCCTTTATTCTGCAGATGGTGGGTAGTCCCTGAAGGGAAGGCCATGGCTAGATTAACAGGGATGTAGCTGACAACAGGGAAAGGATGGATTGTAGGAGTTAGGCTCAGAGGCAGGGAGACCACTGATGCAAGAGAATACGAGGGACTGAACAGGGCAATGGGAATAGGGACAAAGAGGGAGGGAGCAAGAGTTAAAAGATAAAACTGGCAGTCCATGGTAACTGGGTCTGGGGGGAAAGGCAAAAGAGGAATCTGGGATGACTCCTGGGTTCTGGCTTGAGTGACTGGGTGGATTAACAGCAAGAATTCAGGAGGAAAAGCATACTTTAAAGGCAAGACAAAACATTCCACTTTGGACATGTTGGTTTGGCATGCTTGAGATTGTACAGGAGATAACTGGATATAAAAATCTGAAGCTCTGGGCTTCCCTGGTGGCGCAGTGGTTGAGAGTCCGCCTGCTGACGCAGGGGACGCGGGTTCATGCCCTGGTCCGGGAGGATCCCACATGCCGCGGAGCGGCTGGG